GACTTGAAACAGGTTTGCCTTCCTTGAAAATTTCTGGAAATCAATCAGGGGTACAGAAACTGATCTGCTAAAAGCAAATAAAATGGATTCTTAATATTGGCAACTATGTCAATTTTTTTTTAAGTTCTGAAGGAAGAACTCTTGGAAACAACTTTATTAACCATTAAGGAATTACTTGATATTTAGTTTCCTAACAAACTATTCAAAGAGAAGTATTTATGGTCTCATTAGAAGATGGGTTTTTGTTGTGCCAAACTTCACCTTCAAAGCTGCAATCTGTATTATGTCAAAGATATGGAAATAAAAAACTAAATGAAATAGAGCTGTCTGTGTAAAAGGCGAGCATTGCATCATATTTTAGAGTGCTGCTTTACATCAGAGTGTCTCACTATGAAGCAGTGGGGATCTGAACACATTCGCATATCCCCCATTCGTGACAAAGGGTTGGCATTCTCAACAAGAGTAACTGTAGCTGATGGCAGACTTTATCTGAAGAGATCTGTGCACGTTAGCAATATACCATCTTCTGCCAGCATAAGAAGAGCATATGGGGCCCATTAACTCACCAGACCTGCCACTGTTCTGCAAATTTTTATTAAGCAAGTGCAGTTTCTAATAGTCACTTAATGTTATAGAATGCATACCAAATGCTATCAGTAAGCAAGGGGATTATTTTTCCCCCAGTGAGAATACATTCAAAGTGTATAAGAAGGCTTGACAAAAGAATAAAACACTTTAAGTGATCACCATATTAATATAAATGTATCCTACTGGGAAGCCGATATGTTTAAGTATTACATGCACTTTGACATTTGCCACTAATAAGCTCTCAGAGTGCCATCTTTTTCACAGATTTTCTCCCCATAATTTCTTTATTTACAGCTTCTCTTCCATACAGTGAACGTGGTTGAAATTAAAAGACAATGTGTGTTTATCCACTCTTTAAAAAGGTGCCGTTGGTTTTGAGCAGTTCTAGTTAGCTCAAAGGTCTACAACCAAGATAACTAGAATCACAGGCAGGTAGGCTGCTGTGTGTTCCAAGCAAGTCTCCCTAAACAGACGATGGACCTTGAAGTTAAGAAACATCCGAACCAAAGGGCGTCCTCCTTATGAAGCACCTTACAGTAGTTAAATCAAGTGGTGTCCATCAGTCTTGAGTTGGACACCAGGAAGCATGAGCTTAGTGTAGACATCCCATTATCTAAATAAATCCAAAGATATCTCAGGAGGAACAAGTCTATAGTACCCTCCAAGTATTTAATAACAGTTGCAATAAAAATGTCTGAATTTCATCTTCAGAAGGACTCAACGTTTCACTGGTATCTCTTCAGTTATTATAATATCCCTTTAATGTAATCAAGAGCAAGTAGTACCATCCCTTGGGTAAAACTGAAGGACAAGAACAGGAATATAATAAGCTCTGGAAACTTAAAAAACAAAGAAAGAAAGGGAGAGCCATCTGTCATCAGAACTAGAACAAAACACCTTGGCTCTTGCTCCATCAGCACTGCCTTTGGTACCTTAGCATTTTGGAATGAAAGACCTTCCCACACCAGCCCACTCCTTTTTCAACCTCTTGTAAATAAGGTCTTTGTTTGAAATGACACATCTGTCATAATCATACTATTCCAATCGCTGTGTTATCCAAATATTATGCAGTGAAATGACTAGACTTAAGTTCCATCCCCAAGAGATAACTTCACAGTAGCTCTAAGGTAATGTGAGTTATAAAGGAAGTTGAGTATTAATTATAACACTTGTCATTTTTTTTAAAAGTGGGGATGGTGTGTATAATTTTACCTCATTTTCTCATTTGCTGCTGTTATTTAAATCGCTTCCCAGCACTAAGCATGTGCATAAAAGAAGATTGTTCCCAACTTAACCTTTTAAATAAAATGCATTCTATTAATTAAGTCATTATAGTTCCCTCTCTTTTCTATTATGTTTATTCATTTATTTTCTGTCCTAAAGATAGATATCTGTGTCCTTGAATATTTTGGAGACCCGTAAGTGTTATGCCTATCACTCATTTGGATTTTCTACACTGTTTTTTAAAGTAGCTTATGTTAATGTTCTAAAGAATTTAAAATTGTCAATTAAAATAATGATAAGCATTCCTACAAAGAATAATAGACAGTGTGCAGCCAAAAAATTGAGAAAGTACCATGTTTAACCTAATATGACTGGGAAATTTGCAATACCAAAATTTGCTTAGATTTAATGAGATAACTTATGTCTGTTTAAAAAAACAACACACAGACAAAACAACAAAATCCTACCTTTCTATGAATCCCTTTTTCAGAATAACTGTACATAATAAGACCATGTAGCCTGAGTCTTATATTTCCTTTGCCTTTCTTCCTTTACAAGATGAACTAGGAACCAGGTAAACTGGAAGGTAAAACCTGCTGAGGGTGTTGGATTATCCATGAGGTAACAATTAAAAGTACCTAAGTACCTGAAGCATAGCAGGTCTCAGTCCCTATATTCCTTCATAACTCCAGGGATGCTAAATCATAGAGACCACCGCCATTACCAAATTCATACCCTTTGCCACTCTCACAGTTTCCGTTTATCAAAGATTTCAATTGTTGAGAAATACGTAGCTGGCACTGTGCTAAATGCTTTTGCGCATGTTTTTTATTTTATTCCCACAACTCCCTGTGTAGTGTTCTTATTTCATTTTCTCATGTGGGGAAACTAAGGTTACAAAGAACTTTGTAACTTGCCTGGTAAAGTTGGGATTCCACCCACACCTATCTCAGTAGCTATCATGTTGCTCTGCATTTCTATTTAGTTTCTCATTAATAATGATGACAAAAGCTAACATTTCATAAGCACTTATTATATGATCTTCTAAGTACTTTGCATAAAACTACACATGTAATTTTTACCTCAAACCTATGGAGCAAGCCATATTCTCCTCATCTTATATATGATGAAATTGAGGCACAGAAAGTTAAATTAAATTTCATACAACTAGAAAATTTCCAAGTCAGGATTTTAACTCAGACCAGTGATTTTTCATCTGTGAAATGGGAATGGATATTTTAGCTTGATCCCATTAGAATTGTAGATTTCCAAACATGCTAAACAAAATTGTAGCTAACGCTTTTTAGTACTGTAGCCATCACAGAGAGATTTCTGTTAATAACATATATTCAAATAAATAGGATAGTATCTTTCTCACATATAGATGTTTGTTAAGTGTTCAATTTATGTTACTGATGATTCAAAAAATATAACAAGTCTCCTGTGACTCATTATAGTAAGTGATTAAGAGCACCATGTTTAAGTTTTGGAACTTATCCTCCACTTAGAGGGTGTGCCTCAGTTTCTTTGTCTGTAAATAAGAATAATAATACCACCTATCTTGACAGGTCATTGTGAGGATTACATGAATTATGCAATATAAAGTGCATAGGACAGAACCTGCAATTATAAGTACTCAATAAATATTAACAACTAGTATTTTTTAATCATTATGATTGTTTTCCAGTATTTTTCTATTTATACAGTAGACTCCACTGTAAGTTTTTTTAGACTTGGTTAAGACAGAAATTGACCCCAAAGCGGGAGCCTAATAAGTACAAATTGACATGTCCAGCCAGAAATACAAATAAAACTCGAACAAGATTTTTAAGTAGTTAATTCCAGAAAAATTACAGGCATGTAGTGCTTTTATCTAGAAAATAAATCGCCTTAGGAAAGGAGAGCTAGGTGGGAGCGGAAGATCAATGTTTAGTGACTGGGTTAATGAAATATGCCTGACGATAGTAGGCAAAGGAAGCAGGGGTATGTTACTCTGAGACCAGTCTAGTGTCAGGGAAGATGGAGAAAGTATCCTTGTTAGCAAAGTTCCCCTCGCTTCGCTTCAATCTTGTGAGTCCATCTGTCTAGAGTTTTCTTTGTGGGAAAGTTTTAACTAAAAATTCATTAAAGAAGCAAACTATAGGACTTCTCAACTTATCTGTTTCTTCCTGTGTAAGCTTTGGCAATTTATGTCTTTGAAAAATTGATGTAAATTTATCTATTTCATTAGAAAATCTGGAGTTATTTTTCCCCCACTACTGAAGCAAGGTTCCTCTTTATGTTTTAACTGATGTTCCTGAATTAGAAAGTTTTTCACTCTGGCTGTTGGGAATAGTGCTTATTTTCAGCCCTGTGTGAACTTTGGACACAGTTCCCTTTCTTCTGTGAGGCAATTCTTTACCAGGTCTTGAGTAGTTTCCTCACATGCACGTGATCATCAGTATTCAACTAAATACATGAGGGATTCCTCTACAGATCTCAGAAAGAATTATGTATAGCTCTCTCCTCTGCAATTCTCTACCATGCACACTCCATCTGCCTTGGCTTCCCTGGATACCCAGTTCCATGTCCTCAAGCTAGGATATCTCTGGGCTCTGCTTGTGTTCCCCTCCCTGCACCACAGCCTGGAAACTCTCCATACAGTAAACTAGAGCAATTGTAGGATTCACCTCACTTGTTTTCCATCACTCAGGAGTCTCTGTTACCTGATGTCTAACCTTTTGAATGCTATTGTTTAATCTTTTCTGTATTTTAAATTTTTTCAGGGGGATTAGAAATCTTTTCACTTTTACTCTAGGTTTATTATATACAGAAGCTCAATACTGAATATATATTATTGCTATTATGTTTAAATAATTTTACTGTATATTATACATTTCTAGGCCCATGAGTTTAGTTTCTCCTTTTGCAAACATGGAAACAATAACCCAGTTTTAAAAAAATGAAAGTATTAAAAATTAAAAGAAAATTAAATTATATTTATAGAAGTCTAATAAATATATATTTTTTCATGGCTATTCTTAAAATATCTACCAATAGAAATAAGGTACCCCAGGTAGGCTAGGGAAAATTTTTCTCAAATCCTTGCCAGTAAAAGATTTAACTTATTATGAATCTATATTAATTATTGTTCAAAAAATGGCTGATTTATCAGCAGGCTGATCCTTGTCTCTTTTATTTCTTCTCAGTGCCAGATGAAAGCAAAGTCCATTCATTGGCTGGACACAAATTGGGTAAGAAATTTCTTATAACTGACTTTCTGTGCTTCTTCCTGGAAATCACTGGCTGTGTTTGAGTAGCAGTTGGAACCTATTTCCATCCACCAGTCACTGAAAGGCTTGCTAATTAATACATGAGATGTGTCTGACTTCCACAAAGATGAATTATTTCTTGGCTGTATGTAGTGGCATAATGTATGCTGACTCAAAATTTTTGAGAAGAAAGAGTAAAGGTTTAAAAAAAAAAAAAATGATTATAAAACCCAAAATCTTAAACCTGTATGCCAACTGAACACTTAGAAAAACAAGAATGATAAAGAAGCCCCAAGAAAGTTTAAAATGTTTTCCCATGATGACTTTCACATTAAAGTGATTGGATAGAAAGTTCCAGAATAAGAAAATTTTGCTCATTTTATTCTCCTCAAAAAAAAAGTAGCCTTGCCCTGGCTGGGTGGGTCAGTTGGTTCAAGCTTCGTCCCATGCACCAAAAAGTGGTGAGTTCCAATCCCAGTCAGGGCACATAACCTAGTATGCGGATTCTATCCTGGTCAGGGCACTTATAGGAGGCAACTGATCAATGTTTCTCTCTCATATCAATGTTTTTGTCTGTCATCAAGGAGGATTGTACCCAACATACCTGTATTATCTCTCTTTAGACTCATGAATGAGTCTCTAGAGGTTCTCTAGTAAGTCCACAAGGATCTCCAGGTGTCTACCGGGTCTCTATCATGTGTGAGAAACCTTCAGGTCTAAACTCCAACCTTTCCTCCATTGCCAAGTGGCCTGCTTTCTATTCCTTTGCCCTTCCTTCATCATTTATTCACATGAGTTGAAAACTCTTAAAGCTACTAGGCTAGTAAACACTGCAGCGATCCCTGTTCTCCAGGATGCTTTATTTAGGTGGGGAAATACCCATTTTACTCCTAGAATCGCCACTCCAAACACCAGCACGGTAATAATTTGTTGACATCTTCTGTTTCTAAAACACAGAAGTCATTCCCACCACCAAGCGTCTCCTGTGTTTATGTGCCAATTATGTTTTCAGCCATAAGTGGCCTTGATGCCTCATTACCTCCATCATGTTGGGGGAAAATTATGATTTTTTTTCTTTTATTATTTCTCCAGATTCTCTAGTGATAACAGCAGGGAAGGGCTGGTTCAAAACTGTTAGATTTTTTTTCTTTTTTGTTCCTCCTAATAAGGAGCCTAAGAGGCTAGATCACTGTAAAAGAGAAGATGTCTGAGGGAGCGATCAGTCGCCACACGGGGCTTGCTCCCACTGTCCTCGCCCATTAAATTCTCTGCTATTGGAAATATGTTTAGGAGGCTGAGAAGGAAGTTCTCATGACCAAGGAACCCCAAGGATCTCCTATATTATTTCCATCTTCAGTGTGTCATACTGCTTGTAGTTAGTTCTCTACGTACTTGAAGATTAAAGCCTTTTATGTCTTGGGATAGGCTTCAAGGTAAAAAGTGGAAGCAATTTTTAAGAACTTTCTGGCTTTTTCCAAGAAATCAAATCTTACTCTAATATTCTTAATTTCCAAACAAATTACTATTTTTGTCTGTCTTTTTAAATGAGAACATTGTAACCTTAGTATATTGCTGTAATAGTTCAGGTAAATTTGAGTGATATATTTTAATACAGTGTGTTATAAAAATATTAATAAAGAATTACTCTAAGTACAATACTTACAATAGTCTTCCAAATAAAAAACTGTCAAAAATAGCATGATTTTAAAGTTGTTGGGTAGGTTAATTGTAAGCTCCACATGGTGGCCTTACTTCAGCTGACTAATAGAAACAGTACCAGCAGTCTCTGTGTTACTGACATGAGCCTTACTGTTCACGTACATCAGATGTTTTAAAGTGGATCTTGGGTTATAATGAACTGTCATTACAGTATTCACTCTCCTTATATTTTAAGTACTTTTATATCCTATCACAGCTTCATTGAGTTTTTAATCTGCTGTCTATGGAACCAGTGTAAATGCTGAAAAACAAACTGGATAACTTGGAAGCAAAAGTGGCATATGATAAAACACAGCGAAGAGAGCTAAACAGTCCCCTAAAATTATACTCTCGAGAGGTAAATTGAAAGACTCTATAAAACATTATTGACAGTTTTGACAAAATGCAAAGAAGCACTAAAGAAAAATATGCTACTCACATTGTAAGTTAGATATTTCCAGACTGTACCCTCCCCTGTGCCCTGTATTTATTTCTTTCGGAAAATTAGTCTTGAATTACAATGCTCCTCAAGAACTCATCCCTCACATAAAAGGCAACCCCTCTGTGCTCTGCATTTTTGTTGAGCAATTTCTCATTAGGCTTTGGTGGAGGTGCTAAGAGGATTAAGAGTCTTTTATTCTGGCGACCTCTTTTAGTTACAAAATCATTTTTAAAAGCCACCTAATATATAACGATAGTCTCAATCTGACACGGTCTGTGACGCCTAAGCTGGCACCAGTTTGAATTGTAATACATCATGTTCCATTATCACACTTTCTCACCAGTGTTGAAACACTCAACTTCTTTTTGATTCACCTGTCCCTGCCCTAAATCCTTTCTCCAAATATTTAGGTTTTAAAAAAAGTGATTTCTCTTTTGCTAAGAAGAAAAAGTATCTCCCTCTGTCTATTTTTAATTACAGAAATGTGGACAGTTTTCATGCTCTCCAAGACCATGGAAGTTAAATTCAATAGTATATGCTGACCTAAATCTATCACCCATCCTCTTACTCAGGATGATATACAACATTTTAATAAATTCGTCTGAGTTAAAATTTCTTCTGCGTCAGCTACTTAGTGTGTAGAGAGCCATTTTGTGCCAGTTTCCATCTGTTGGTCTGTCTTGGATACCTCCCAAACTTGTAACAATATTTTTGGCACCCTTTCCTTGGCTTAATCTTTAAGTGGTTGATTCCTCAGAGCTCAGATCAAATCAGAAGCTCAGGTAAGATAATCCTTCCAACATTTTTGGCCTAGAAGGTAGCGTTCCCTCACCCCTTCTGGAGTCAGTCCAGTGTTCTCGAGACTCTCCTAAAGCCCCACCTCAGGGGTTCCCCTGGCAGCGGGGTACATCCCAGACCTCGGCGAGAAAGATGGCAGGGTGACCCTCCTCTGTGTAACTGCACAGGGCCCTCCTCCAAGGGCGAGAGGTATTAATGTCCACGGAATGGAGAGACCCACCCAGAGACGTTAGGAGCAAAATGTTGCCTTTCATTTGGTTCTTTTAAGAAAAACCACAAGTTTCAGAGAGCCTTGCAAAACCAATAAGCTGTCTTTGACCTCTTTCCCCAGCTATCCCACTAATTGAATTCTGACAAAATTCAAATCCTAGCACTGCAGGGGGAAAAGAAAAACTTAAGCAAAATATATATTTCAGACAAGAAAATTAGTAAATACTGATTTATATTAAATATTATAACAGAACATTAGAATCCAGAGAAAATGGCATCAAATTTGGCATAACTTTTTTTAAAAAGCATGCTTTAATTTTGACTATACAGGCTCCTAAACTGTGACTGAGAAGGAATCATTTCTTTCCTATGTGCTGAATTGACACCTAGACCAATAGTTTCATGCTGCTCAGCACCCAGACAGAAAGGACTTATAAATTTTACTTTTCTACTGTGTCTTCATTTTTGTTGTTTTGATTTACTGCTCGGAGCTGTTTTAATATGTATTGACTGTCTGCAGAGGTCTTTGCTGACCCAGCTCTTTAAGACGATGCAGTGCTGAAGAAAGCCGACGAGTTCTTCTTTATGAGCTCTGACACATTAATTAGCAAAATGGACTAAAAAGCTTTCCTATTTCTATTTTAATTTCTTATATTCTCAAACACCTGTCTTTGGAGCTGTAAAGCAGGCAAGTCTGTAAAAGGAATGGTTGGCAGTAAGTCTAGACCTTCTCTGAGACAAGTTTATCAATTAATGAGCAAGTCCTCATTAACAGTCCGGGGGATGTCTCTATGTGAGACACCTTGCAGCCACTAAGTATGTTGATATCTTAACACGTTTTACTGATGAAGAAGCTGAAGCTCGAGGTGTTTAAGGACTTGGTCTCTCAGCTGTTAACTAATGGGTTTAGGTTATGAACCCAGATACTATATGCTTTTGGGCATTTCCTTTTCCACCACCATGGTGTGCCTAATACCTCACAGTCCCAGGAATTGAGAGGAATATAAGAGTAAGACAAAGTTCTAGTTGGAAGACATTTTGCACACATCAAGATATCCCATAAATCCTCATTTGCCTTTTGTAACCTCGGCCAGCTGAACAAGGAACACAATAGGTATAATTTCTCTAGCAAACGACTATAATTGAGTGCGCAGGAAAGGGACATCTGATCACTCTTACCGTTGTTTCCTTGCATGCATGTTTACACGTGTATATGTCTATGAATGTGTGGGCCAAGTTAAGAGATGTCTGAGAGAGAAAACACGCATGTGATGTGCATGTCTTATGTGTACATTATAGCAAATGTGCGTGTGATGTGTATCCTATGGCAAAAGCTGAGAGTGTAATGTGCAAGTTGCTAACCTGGCAGACCTTACATTCTGTTCTAAATGCATTGTGTATAAATTTGAAATCTAGAATGTTCAAATGTGGCCAAAGAAATCTCTGAATCATTGGAAAAGAATAGAGCTCTTAAAAACATAAGGTGATTGGGTAGTCAATTTAATACAAGATCAATGAGTTACTAAATGACATTTCATAAATTTTGTGGAGTCTCAGGAGTCCATATTTTTCTAGAAGATCTAAATTAAAGAGGGCATTTAAATTTTGGAACACAACCATGGTCATTTTTCATATTTGCATCTTCTAACTGGATTATTGTTTTTCATGACTTTTTATTATTGTTGTTCATGAGGAAGTAAAACCTTGGAGTTAGTGGATTAGTGGAGTTAGTTGAAGTCAATGGAATTGAACTGTTTCTTTCCTTATCAATTGGTTAAGGTAATACTGCATGGTTATCTATTTGGACAAACATCTCCATTGAGTACTTTGAAAG